CCTGAAAAATAAATTCATTGCCATGTATTATTAAAATAAGACTACTTTTTTAATTTAAAATATAATAGAAAATTTAACATGGATATTAATTAAAAAAAAACACATTAATGGTAAGTACAAATGGCTTTAAGCCACATACATAAAAAATAAAAGAAAATTTTTAATATTTTTGTTCATTGAGTTTTTTTTTAATATATATTCTTCTAAAATTTTGCCCAAAAACATGATCTTCAGGAATTTTTTTGTGTTAACAATTTTTATACAAATTAAAAAATTATGCTATTTAACTATAAAAACTCAGAAAAAGAATTTTTTCACTTCCCACAAATTTTATAATGATAATCAATAAACATTTATATTTAAATTTTCAAGAAAAATTAAGACATAAAAATATTTTTAAAAAAGTGGCATAAAATTTTATAAAATCATAGGGAGTTGACAGCCTAACTGCTTTTATTTTTATATATAAAAGTGATAACCCGAATATTTATTAAAACTTGTTTAAATAAGTGCAAGTATTGATAGAATTAATTTTTATCAGAAATTTTCTCTCTAATTTTCATGCTCTTATCAAAAGCTAAATATGATTAAGTGCATTCCCACTGCTGAACATTGAATGTTCCACTTAAAATTATTCTCCAAAAGTTCAAGTACAAGCACAAGTATCAACAGCTTAAGATATCAAAATAAATATAAGTGATATAGTAAGAAATAATAAGAAAAACTTAGATTTGGGATAATCAACTCAATACCCTGAAAGTTATATGTTTCAAGGTTTGTGACGCCATAGAGAATGATTAACAGAAGATTGGCATTTCTTAACTGTGTTTAAGTCAGTTTCGTGTATTTCAAAAATTTTAGTAAACAAGCGATAAGTTTCAAAAACTACCTCAACAGGAGTGACATCAAATGTATACTTTAAAATTATTTCTGTTCTGATTTGCAAAACCTTAGTGTATGCAAAAATGCAAACAGATTTGTCTATTTACACACAAAAAAAAAATAAGTATGTTTTCAATTGATTATGTTAATTCATTGTATGAGTGACTAGAATATGAATTTGTAGGAACAAAATAAGATGAAAAGCATACAATAAAAAATCTAATTTACTGACAAACATTTTCAATTATAAATCCTTAAAGAAATGAACTGATTATTTTCTTCATTCACTTAATAGAATATGGAAAAATTAAAATGCCTTGAGTTTAAAAGTTATAATTGAATAAAAAATTATAGAATTATTTTTGATGTTTAATGTTTTGTTTGCTGTTAATTGATGTTTACATTTCAACGCAGTAAAAGTCCCAGAAACTTTTCTATTGGTCTGCTGCAACACTACCAAATTTATGTTCTGAGTATAAGGTAATACATTTGTATTCAAATGTTGCACTTAGTAACGTTGCAAATTTTAAAAAGTATAAATGTGACAAAATAACAGGATAACTAAGAAAAGTACTCCAAATTGATTGCAACTTAATAAGTCAGAAATTTATTATTAGAAAAAAGAAAAATTCTAAATCAGTAAATTTAAAATGAAAAATATTAATTTAAATGATTAGCTTATGTACAAAATGCACATTTATTACCAAATTGATTGCAAAAATAAGTAATAAAGAAATAAACTAAACATTGGGTAAACAGAATGAGATTTGTAAAAAGTAACATTAAAAACAATCTAACTCTTCAGAAATTACTACAAAAAAAGTTAAATTTGCGTTTCCAACAGTATTGTAAAAACTCAAACAAAGAAAATGCTAAGTGAGTAAAGGAAGCTTTTGTAACAAACTATAATTAAGTTGAGTCCATTCAAGTTGATAAACTAAAGAGGAAAATATGGGCCCTAAAGCGAAAACAAAAATTCTCTAAAGTTTTAATTTAAAAATATATTGATGCAAGACTCTCACATTCAAAAACTTTCTATTTTTGTTTTTAGAATTTTGCTTGTCATAATAGCCTATTAAAAAAAGTTAACATTTAAAAAATCAGGTAAAAATCCAGTGCAATATTTTTGTCTGCAAAGACAAAAGAAATCAGTGACAACCTTAGCAACCCCATGCTATTCTGAAAAAGGAATCATACATACAAATAGTGTTCTTATTATATGAACTAAAACACAATACATAATTAAAAAAAAGAGAAGAGAAAAACCTGTGCACAAAAAACAGTTTGCTTTCAGATAATATAAATTCATTTAAAAAAAGAACCAGTTTGCTTTCCTGCACACAAAACAAGTTTTTAATGTTGTTTATGGCGATACTATGTTTGTCAGGAAAGTTGTTTAACACAAATTACAAATCACAGGCACCAAAATTACACCAAATCACAGGTATGGTAATGGGAAAAGAACACTAAGTTAGCTATCAAATCAGAAAACCATATATATAAAAAAACGTGCTAAAATTTATAAATTCGGCAGTATTTATGCCTAAAATCAGTTAAAAATTTAAAAACAAGATTAAACAACAAAAAAAAAAACTCGAATTTCTACGAGCATAAATTACTCACTTTTAAGTGTAGTTAATTTTGGATTTACCTAAACACAGTATTGAAGCCCCTCCAATTTATTTTGTATGCACAGGTACTATGCCAAATTTAAACTAAAATAAATTGCCACAGTCAAACGAACAAAGAACTGATTGTGTAGTAAAATGATATAGTAAAAATTCTCTTTACTTACATTATCATTCGAAATTGTAATACTAAAATTTTTAGTTCTACTATAAAGATTGTCAACCCAAAACCAGGTTTTTACTTATTGCAATGTAATAAGACACGTGAAAGTTGCATACAAAAGAAGCAAACAACATGTTACATAAGAAAACAAACTCTCAAGTGCCGCATAAAGAAAGTTGAAATCGTTGCATGCAAGAAAAACAGTGAAATATTCCTTAAAACAAAAAATACACTACATAACGCACAGTGTGTCTATAGCCTTAAAACAAATCAGGAGTACATTAATTTAGGATCTCTTATGCAGGCTAAAAAGCTAATATTAATTCAAAAATTATATGATTTTAGCCAACTATATTTCTTAGAGCACTTTTAATATTGTAGGGATAATTAGTATAATTCTAAGTTTTTTAAAATTTAAAAAATTGTGGTTATGGATCATTTAAGAGGAATCCATCATCCCTCAGCCACAAATATAATTATTTATTTACTATATTAAGCACAGGTAAGAAAAAATGTGATGGAGAAAATATAAACTTTTAGTTTAACTACAACAGAAAGTTGGGAATTTATTTTAAAGTAATATTTAACATAGTGTCTAAAATTCTGAAATGTTCATTTGAGCTGTCTCAAAAGAATAGTTTTTTAAAAAATGCTCGTATAGCCCTACAATTTTGTCTTAGATAAAAACAATTCATACCAATGGCTAAACCTATATGGACTACCTATGGCCAAAAGTAGCCTCTAGTCTTCAGACAAAAAATTAAATGGATTAAATTAAACTAGTTTTAAGAAATTTCATAACTGCTTTCAAACTAATTAAAAAGATATGTTATATAGCAAAGCAAAGAAACAAAAAAGCACAAAACTAGATATTTATCAAGAGATGTATTAGATAAACATAAGCCCATCTACTAAAATTTATTCTGTAAGCTCAGGTTTTACAACTAGTTCAGATATGAAATTCAAAACAAATACCATTTGAACATGCAGGGTATATGAGAGTTAACTTTATAACTTTGACAATCGACTAAAGTTGGTTAATGAAAAAGACATGGCTAAACTTTGTTGCTTGTACGTAATTCTCATAAACAGTGCATTGAGTTTTGTTCGAAAAATTTTTACATTCCACTTATAATAGAAATTTATAATTCAAGTACAAAAAGGAATGCAAATAACAAACTTATTTACAAATAACAGCTTATAAGGTCACAATCATCATACAAGGGCATCATCAGACACATAAATAAATATCAGAATTGTAAAACGATTAGGATAATTTTGTTTTACAAATAGGATAACTTTAGAGCAAAAAATAAATAAACAAAAAAAATATCTTTATATATTGTAGTTAAATGTACAAGCAAAATCGATTTAGCTATGACAGGGGTTGTGACTTTGAATATTTTAAACTTAATTTGGATAATCTAAAATAATATCTATTAATATATAAAATAGTATTAACTAAATGTGTCTAAAGCTAAAAAATATAAAAATAATTAAAACACCACATGCTATGCTGCATTTAAAATGCATCAGAGCAAATTTTTATTAGTATTTATTTAGTTTTTAATATTTTTAAATTAAACAAAAAAGTAGTATAAAATTAATTATTAATTGAAATTCCTCACTTC